TTTCACCATGAGAATGGCCTCAGAGTTAACAAAGTAGTTGACTAGCAGGGAGATGGACATGCCGGGGGTGGGGTGGGGTGCGGGGGGTGGGGGAGGGAGGATCTCTGTGGCTCTTTTTTCAGGACACACACAGAAGATGGAGTGACAGCAAACGATGTGGGCTCTGGCGCCTTCAGTGGCCCACAGCCACAAGCCCAAGAAGAATGGCTTCTTCACTCACCAAGTATTACCATGCTTCCATTCTCCCGTAACCACTACCAGTCAACCTGATCACGCTTTGGGCAAGGACACAGTAGAGTTACATTTCTGTAAGTTGGGATTATTGTTATTTTGAATTAGCAATAATTTTAAAGTACTACAACACTTAAAAACCAAACAAAAAAAAAAACTTTAAAACACATAGAATACACACTTGGGGTGACCAGACTCTCCACCCTCTTGCAAGAATAGACTCCTAAGCATCTCTCAGCCCACCAGCCATGGAAATGCCTGTTTTATAACCTACCCTGCATGCTTCATGCTGCTTTTCCACACACTGCCCTTCTGTGCACTTCTTCCAAATCTGATAGCAAAGCTGGGGCCTGGAGGAAGTCAGTAACCCACAGCAGGATGCGTGTGTGGCAAGGCCGGGCAGTAGATGAGCACTGTTCCCACTGACGTGAGAGGCCAGTCTGTTCTTGCGTGAACAAACTGGATTAAGGTAACTTCCCTCAGGGCTTGGGGATTGCACAAGAAGGATCCCATCCAGAATAGACACCTCTTGAAGAACACAGCTTCAAAATGTTAGGGACACTGGACTTGCCAGGCCAGACCACAGATGCTGGTGTCACTGCGGTAGCTGTGCTCACACATCTGGAAGCCACGCTCAGCTGCCCATGATGCCTTCAGTCAATGTTAGCTCAGGAGATAAGCAGGGATCTGGCTCTGCTGCGTACCAGCTACGTGATCCTGGGCAAATCATTTAATTCCCCTGATCTAGATAGAGAGACTGAGTCCTATGTGGTGGTGGTTAGGTTGACTGGTTGGAATTCTGTCGTGTCTCCTCAGAGAGAAGGCCGGAGTGAACAAGTAGAGGAAGGGTACTCTTGAGAGATGCTCACAGCACACACCTTTGGAACGCTTACTCTGGCCGTTATGCTGAGCGACAATCTGAACACTCATAGTCAGCTCCACATAAAGATGTGGGGGTCTTGAGGGACAATGCAGTGAGGGTGTGGGTCCCAAAGCTTGTAAATGGCAAGCGCGGGGGGGGGGGGGGGGCGCGGCTCCATTTAGCCACCCTGAGCCCAAGCCACCAGGGCTTTGCTGCCAGAGGCCGTAACATTTATTGTAACTGTTCATCTTCCCTTGACATGGGAACATCCACTAATTCCAAATCCAGGGGTTTGCCAGTGAGCACATTGAGCAAACCATTAACACCAGCTCTGGCCGCGATTCACAGAAAGCCCCTAGCCCAGCCACCAGTGGGAAGGAAGACTTGGAAATCGCTAAGACTTGGTCACACCAAATGGTCACAGACTCTCAGCCAAGCATCTGACTTGTGTGACTCGGCCTTGAGTGTACCCCACCTTCTCTGTAGCCTTTCCCCTGCTGACCTTAAGGGGCTCAAGTGAAGGGTGTGTCATGTCTGGTCCCAAGATCATATTATACACGTGAGGATAAGCACTGCCTCTCTCCAAAGCCTCCCATTTCTACCAGGCAGCCGGGTGGCGATGAGGGTGAGACAGGGGTGTGGAGCCATGCCCAGCTCTGCCCCTGCTCCCTGCAGAACCCTTGTGCCTCAGTCTCCTCTCTGTACCAGAGTAATAGCTGACCTGCCACACCAGTCATGTCAGGGTAAATCAAGCAGTTAAGATGAAAGGTGACTGTAAATCAACATATGACCTTTTCTTGGGCACACAGCAGAGGGATAAAAGAGGTCTGTCTCGGCTTGCAAATGAGAAGGCATACGGAGATGCATTGAAAAGGCACCTTTGGGTCTCTGAATAGCGCGCTTCTCTCCCAGTGAGCACCTGCAATACATTCTGATTACTCTTCCATTCGAAGGCCTACACGTGAGAACTGTGCTATTGCTGGTGAGAACTTACAAGAATCTGTCCCGACTGTGAACTGGCAGCTGGTCGTGTAAGACAAGAGTAGATACCAAACACAGATGGTCACTTAGAAAATTTTACTGGGGATTCACTCAGGAACAAAGTATAGCAAAACCTCTTTAAGGGTGATGTGCAAGCCTGAGCTTCTACTTTCCTGCTGGCATGGATTTTCCAGGCACAGACATGCTGGGGAGGCCCTTCTTTAGAGAAAGCAGCAGTACGTGGTACTTCAGTGACCTGAGTCTCAGGCTGCATCCCAGGGAGGACACAGAATAAGTGTGCTTTCCCTTTGTAGCCTATCACTCCTGATTCCTTTATTCACACACCTTCCGAAACATGAACTCCAAGGTCCTTCTCTTTCCTGCTCAGGACACATAAGCTGGGAAGGTTCCTGTCCAGTGAACATTCCTTCCTCATACAGGCATTGCTTTGCACTGGAGAACTGTCTGTATCTGGAGACATGGGGCGTGGGTGTGTATGTGTGTGTGTGTGCGCGCGCGCGTGTGCGTGCTCACACACGCGTGTGTTTAGTTTTAACTAAGGAACCTGCCCCTTGGCCTTCCCTTCTGCAGATCAGCAAGATGTGATGTGCAGGAAGGCGTAGGGATTGCAGCATGCTATAAACCTGTAGATCCAATCAGCAGAAATGGAGGAAAGCATCTTGCACAGGGCAGGAGGTTTTTGTTTTCAAGGCTGATTTGTAACCCCCAAGTTTTAGCAATGCGGGCTGCAGAAGGCCCACAGAGGGAGTAAGTACCTCGTTACACATGTCTCCAAGTATAGTCTTCTTTGATCACTCCACAGCTGGGCAGAGGGCAATCTGGAACTCAAACTACATTATACTCTCCTCTTCTACGTGGTCTTTCTTTAAAGTACCTTCCACTAGACAGGAAGCCAAGGGCGTAGATGCTGTCATTTCCAAAATATTGATCACTCGCGTTAATAAACTGGGAACGCTGTCCCAGCAGGCCCACACAGGACTCTTTACAAGGGACTCAACATCTCAACAAAAAAGAGGCCAAGTGACTCAGAAGTCAAGTTTCCAATGACTGCAATTTCTAAGTTAATGATTGCAATGCCCCAGTGGAACCTGGAACAGCAGAGGCCTCAGAGCTTATCATCAAACCAGGATGGTGTGGTCCAATCTGTGAGCGGGTCAGACTGACAGAGGGCCACCTACGGACCACAGCCAGGCCCTGCACTACTGTCTTCCTAGTGTTACCATTATCTCAGTGTCCAAAGTGGCAGGTTTCATGAGGCCAGCTCCACACACTCGTAACAAGTACTTGGCCAATGTTCACCTCATTACTCACCCTTCTCTCCTTCCATTGGTCCCAAACACTCCTCTTGCTCTTTTCAAGTCTCTTATGTAAACGTATGGATTAGATCAGTGATTTGTGTTGCTGTTGTTGGTGTTGAGACAGGATTTCCCTGTGTACTCTTGGCTGTTCTGGAACTAGCTCTGTAGACTAGACTGGCTTGGAACTCAGATAATCCCCCTGTCTCTGCCTCCCCAGGGCTGGCCTTAAAGGTGTGCGCTACCACACCCGGCTGTTGTTTTTAAATTTAGATTCCGTATTTAAGAGGAAACACACAGTATGATCCATCTGAGTCTGGCTTATCTCACTGAACACAATGACCCTGGAAATGTCCACAGTTTCTTCTTGTTGTAGTTCATACCCTTCAAGATAATTTCCAAACAACAATGGAGTGTCTATTGGGAAGATGCCTGGAACAATTCTGGGATTAAAGTCTGAAGACGTTGGCGGGTAAAGGAAACATCAACACCTGGGTTAACCATGTAACAGCCTTTGAAAAAACCCTCAGGTTCAAAATTAAGGTAGGAAGGAAGATGTGTCAAGACAACACAAAGTGAAAACCAAAGTGCAAATCCCACCATAAACTACTAGTAGCTTCCCAAACTATCTGGTCACAGAAATAAGGAGAGGGACCAGGACCTCAGAGGGGGTCCCGTGCCTCACAGCAGTGACCAGGTCCTGCTGCAGCTGGTCTGGGAGCATGCAGTGTTTAGAAAGTGGTTCACTACATTTAAGCCGGTGAAGTGCCTCCCACGTCAGGGTCTGAGCAAGCCTAGTTACAGAGTCATGTGTAATTCATCCTGTCCTCAGAGAACCTGGGAGCCCAGTGGCCACCGCTGGGCCCTGCAGCTTCATAGGCTGTAGGTGACAGGAGTGGATTCTGCAGGGGCAGGTGACTTTCCTCATATCTAAGGGTTTGACTTGACAGATCACCTGCAGTCTCTCTCCCACCTCCCTGCCATCCCTATGAGAACTAGCTGTCCAAGCAGCTCCTGACAGCTCTGATCTACGGGCACAGAACTGCAGTGAGACTCACACTGTACCCGCCACCATCGAGAACAGAGCCCCTAGCTCAGCGGGGACACACCTGCTGAGGGCACCCTGGCTGCCTCCGGCGAGGTGACAGCAGGCACAGTCTGGGCTCCACAGATGGAGGGCCTCACCTGGGAACCAGACGTACCACCAAGTATCTTTCCTTGTCATTCCTGTTCCTTGCGAGCAGTGGCCTGCTTGGACATAGATGCTGCCCTTTGTCAAGTGTCAGAAAGGAATCTCTCAACTGATGGCACCTTTAACCTGGGATTAGAAGGACTAACAGCCTGAGCCCTGGATTAGAAAGATCTAGATGTCAATTTCTCCTCTGCTGCATGTTACCCAGCCTTGGGCAAGCTCAGTCCTTTCTTTAGGGTTAATTCTGAGAGCTATGAAAACTTAGGAAAGAAAAAAAGCAACACACATGGCAACACACATCTGCAGTCCCAGCACCCGAGGAGCTGAGGCAGGAGGATCATCTGGGCTACACAGTATGACCTGTCTCAAAACAAATCCTCACTCTCCCGCACACCTCCCATCCCTTCATCCCCCCACTCTGGAGAGCTTTCAATAAACGCCTCCCTTTCCTGAAGTGAGTGGACGGCACACCTAACATTTCAGATAACATATCCAGACCGTCTCCACATACAATCAGGATGTTAAGCTTGGGGAAAGACTACAATAGGATTGGGCATTCGTAACCAAACACTGTGGGCCGGTCTGGAGGTTTCTCTGGAGGTCAAGGCCAGGCCAAAAATGTCAAAACAAGAGATCAAGAATTGGGTGCAAGAGATTAAGATCGGTAACAGATTGAGGTATTCTGGCCATTTCAGGCCGCCCACTCAGGCCCCCCCACCCTTCACGGCCTGCATGGAAATCCAGGGGCGGGAGGAATGAGGCCAGCACAAGTCAGTTATAAACAGTGCAAAGGGAGAGGTGCCAGCCCCTCTAAGCCACGCACACGGGAGGGGCAGGCCACGTCTTTGGAGATAGATTAGTCAGCAGCAATGCAACACGGTCACATGGTGCTAGCCACCCTGGGGTGATAGGGCGACAGAAGACACCGCAGATGACACAGGAGAGGGGGCAGACACTGTGACAGAGGACACAGCTCAGGACTAACTGGGGGCCTGGGTCAGTGTTCCCAGGGGTATGCATGCCATGCTGCTCCTTGTCCCACACAGCGGTAAGGGTCAGAGTAAATGGTAGGGTCAATCCCTTTGCAGTGTCCCAGGGTGGCTGGGACAGCACATCCCTGGAGGCCTCACTGAACAGCGCTCAGCTGTCATCCGCCTGCAGTCTGGTTTGCCTGGAGAGGGAGGAGACGGAAGCACAGCCTCTAAAGGTCCTTCATCCCAACGTCAGCCCTGTCCCGTTCCGACTCCTTACAGAAGGCAGAAGGTCCTCCATCCCAACGTCAGCCCTGTCCCATTCCGACTCCTTACAGAAGGCAGAAGGTCCTCCAGCCCAACGTCAGCCCTGTCCCGTTCCGACTCCTTACAGAAGGCAGAAGGTCCTTCATCCCAACGTCAGCCCTGTCCCGTTCCGACTCCTTACAGAAGGCAGAAGGTCCTCCATCCCAACGTCAGCCCTGTCCCGTTCCGACTCCTTACAGAAGGCAGAAGGAGTTAGGTCAGCAGCCCCAAACCTCACTCACTGGCATGGGTCTGTCTACCCCGAAGGACACGGTGATGATGAGGCCCTGCTCTAGGGAAAGAGATGAAAATCCCGGGGAGAGGCTGCAGACAGCCCAGCAGTTAAGAGCACTGGCTACTTTCTCAGAGGCCTGCAGTCTGGTTCCCAGCACCAAGTCAGGTGGCTCACTACTGCCTAGGGCTCCAGCTCCAAGGGATCCAACACCCTCTTCTGGCTTAGAAACACCAACACACCAAACAAACAAAAACCATGGAGATTTCGGTCGGATGACTACTACTGTGACAATTTTATCTCTGGATGACTACTACTGTGACAATATTATCTCTGTTGTCTGACAAAACCTGCTTCCAGGAAGGATTCCAGGAAAGGCCGCCACGGACACACTGGTAGCTCACTTTGCCATGCTCTTTTTCAGTTCAAGTCTTTCTTTCAAAATAAAATCTTAAAATAGATTGCCCATCTTAGACATTTGACAGTATAGGTTCTGGGAGCAGGGGCACTGTTACTCTTTTCCAGAATGATGCTAGGAACTAAGCAGGATGGCCTCCCTCCACATCCCTTCCATGGGTTCGCTCCGAGCATCACTCTAGCAAAGGACAGCTGCGGGGGAGAGCCTCCCCTCTATGCTGACCAGCTGGGTGCACCTGCTCCAGGGAATGCAAGCTTCGCAATAAGAACTAAGTCAGGAGTGACAGCGCTTTTAAGTTCTACCTAGGAGGACGTGCCCAGGATTTACTCACAGGAGGGCTTCATGGCAGAGATTTGGGTGCAAATCCCATGCCTTTGACTTTACTTTCTCCTTAGACAAATCGTTTAATCTCTTGGCTCAGGTTACCATCCTTATATAAATAAAGGCAGCATCACGCTGTCTCACGTGATCATGAAAAAACGTTGGTGGCCGAGTGCCAGCGTGCTGTGGGTGCAGGACATGGGCTCACGTCCTCCCGGGGACACGGTGTGCAGGCGGTCCCTGGTTGGTGTGGCTTGGCATGTGGTCTGGTGTCTCCTGGGGCCTGTCCATTACCGCCTGTGCTGCCTGTTCCCCAACACAGCAGGGGCAGCTGGTCCTAGGTTTATGAGGAAATGAGCCCTTCCTCCTGGAGGTCACCTCCCTGAGGCCTCAGCTGACAGCAAGGGGCGAGTCATCCGCTCTCCCTAAGATACCCTCAACCCACCCACTTCTCACGATTTCCCCCTCGGCCCCATCTCCCCCAGGGGTCACTTCCAAGTGCTCAGAGCATCTTCTGAATGTGACGTCCACTCAGAGCCTGCAGTAAATCATGGTCTCAGAACATTGCCCAAGTCTTTCTCCTGTGGGAAGGTTTGTTTTATTAAAAACTATTGTGATATAAGTTCTCATCTAAAGGGGAAACCCCACAAAGGTATGTGAGGTCCGATTCTGGCAGATAGACATTAAACACTCATTCTCTCTCTCTCCAAGAGCTAACAAATGTGTAACACATGAGTAAATCTTTCACAGGTTTTTAAAAAGCCTACCTATAGCACACACATATCTGTTCCACTTTGTATTGAACAAGACTTTCCTTTTCCACCCAGAATATTCTTCAAAGGGTGAGCTGTCTCTTCCAGCACAAGCCAAGGACAGGCAGGAACCTCTTCTGTGGTTTGGACTGGGAGTCCCAGGCTCCAAACCCAGTGGCCTGTCTGGGACTGGCTCCTCTCCCAGATCCATGACCCCTGGCAGGCCCAAGCCTCTCGATGCCGGCCTTTGTCTGAAGTAAGCAAGCTGGTTTTCATTTGCTCCAAAACGACGGTTCTACTAAATGACATTAAGTGTGAGGCTGGTTTTTGCTTGAACTTCACCTAAAGAAGTTTTAGCCCATGCCTGAAAAACTGTTCTGCTGAAAAAAAAAAAAAGAAAAGGAGACTTCTGAACCATTCAAAACCATTAAGAATATTGGCTTCAACTTGAGAAAGGTAAGATAAACAAACCCATGCCTGCTGAAGCCTTTGCCTTTTAACTCCCGGGGCCCAGGAACATCCCAAGGCCTTGTGGAGGAGGCTCCTGGATGGCGCTGTCACATAGAAGCATCCCTCTGGCATTTCCAAGGTAGAGGAAATTCCTTTTGGTGCCCAATGTTCAGTGATGGCATGTGGTCCCCAGACTGCCCTCCCTGTAACCTCTGTGCACAAACAAGTCAGTTCTCTCATAGGTCCCAGAACAGAGAAGGAAGCTTCCTCCCTCCTAATGAACCCCTTCCTCCACGAGACCACGCTCTTCCAGGTCAGTGAGCTCGGTGAGTGAGGTCTACAGAGCCAACTGGCTTCAAACTCCAACCAACTGTGATCAACTCTGGATGACCTGAAATTAAAGGTTCAGGAATCAGGTCAGGTTCTGGATTCTAGAACTTTCCCCAGTCCTTCTGATTTAATCAAACTAGAAGGAATGGGTTTCACGTCCCGTACTGCAAGGGAGGGAGGGACCAGGACATGACAAGACAAACCGAGACGATAAGGAGCCAGCCTCAACTTCCAGGCCAGAGGCTGCACTGAGGTCTGCATCCCGGCACCTGAGTCTAGAGCAGCAGCTCCAAGCTGTGCAGGGCCCGGCTGGTCCCCAGTAAGCACACCCACCTAATGCTGAAGAAAGATGGGCCTTTTTTCCCCTTTAGGATACTTTCACTCAACAGAATTAACTGGTCACATGGTGTGTGTGTGTGGTCAAAAACTTGAAAGAACTTTCAAAAGTTAAACAAAAACCAAAAACCTCAATACTTGGAGAGCAAGAACCTGGTGTTTTTTCCTTCCCTCTCTGGAAGCTCTGACGGGGACATCACAGTTCCTCAGATGGAACATTTATTTTGCGTGTTTGCGATGGCTTTATTGGAAGTAAGTTAGTACTATCTCCTCAGTCATTGTCCAGTCAGACCAGCATCTCAGGCAAAGAGGGAAGTTACTTTACGGCTACAGATTCGGTTTAGATCGAGGCCATCTGGGTCTGCTGTGTCCACATCCCACAGCGCCTAAGCTCGATGTTTCTAAGGAGGAACTTTCAAAAGGAATACTACTTTTTTCTTCTTTTGCTTTGAAATACATGATAAGCATCTGAATTTTTAAAGCAGCCATCAGAATGCCTATGAATAAGTAACTCCAAACAAACAAACAAACAAACAAACCAACAAACCCCAAAACCCCAGGGTGGGGAGATGGCCCAGGGGTAAGAGCACTTTTTCTGTAAGCGTAAGGTTCCCACAGAAGGCTAGGCGTGGCTGTGCATTCCTCTAACAGCAGCACTGGAGACAGGTGGACCCCAGGAGCCTGCTGGAGAACTAGCCTAGCCAAGAGAGAGCTCCCAGCCCACTGACAGACCGTCTCAAAGCTGTAAGGTGACGAGCCCTGGAGCGGCTTCCACACGTATGTGCTCGGTTGCCTACATAACACCTCCCTCCACACAAAAACAACCTGAACCTCATCTTCACGTTGTTTATAGACTATCAACGGCTTGCGTCTCTCCCATGCCACACTGTTCTTCCACTCTCTTAAACCACAAGCTCAAACAAAACACCGTTTAAAAATTCCTTCACTTTTATTTCTAAAAGACATCTGTAAGTGGATAATTTGGGTGTGCTGAAATAAGATGACCGACCACGAACCATAACTGTAATTGTGGGAAAACTTTCTGTGTGTTCTGCCAGAAAATTCCCATTTCCTTTGCCATCTCTGTCGCACTGAAAGAGCCCTCACAGGCTCGCAGGCCAGATGGAGAGGACCCAGTCAGCCCGGGACGGCCTCGCCAGGGCACTGTTCCCAGGGCGGTGACTCAGCTCTAGAGGACCACCTGCCGCCTGCCTGCTTTTCAGGTCATTTACAGTCCTGGACCTGAGGGACAGCCCAGAGCCAGGCCAAAGGCCGCACCCAGCAAGTCTTTGTTTTAAAAGGGAAAGAGCCAGTCCTGTGGTTGGGGGGGGGGGCGGGGGGCTTCACACCTGCACCCTAAGAAGTGAGAGTCACAAGACCACAGCCACAAGGCCACATGGAGGAAGCTGAGGCGAATCCATGACAGGAAATGGAGGCAGGACCGCAGGGCACCTCGCGCTTTTTAAAAAGGACTCTGAAGCAGCACAGAGTGGCACACCCAGACACTCCAGCACTTTGGGAAGTAGGGGTAGGAGTTCAAGGCCCTTGGCCACACCGAGTTCAAGGTCAGCCTAGCCTACTTGAGACTGTGTCAAAAAGAAGGGGAAAAAACAAAAACAACAAAAAGATTACCATTGCCAAACACCACTGGGAAGGCTTTGGTGGGTTCCAACGCGGTGACCGACATACACTAGCTACAAGACGTCTGAGTGTGTGCCTAAGGCTTTTTTCTACAGTGAAATCCAGCCACCCCGGAGCATTTTCCCACCTTTAGATGAACTCTCTGCTAGGGAGATCATCTGCCGCCCACACGGTGGGCTTCTCCCCTCAGAGTCTGTTCAAGAGAATAGCTGAGCTGCCAGAAATCTCAGACACTGAGCTCTTCGTCTTGGATGTCTTTTTTTTTTTTTTAAACTCTTTGATCTTTTAAATGTAAAGAACTTTTGCTGTCCAGGTCTAACAATTCCTAAATGTTTTGTAAAAACTCTCCAAACCCATTCTGGACTCCCAGCAATCATGCTTTGATGGTGTCACATCAACCGACGTGCTCTGGCTTTGTGCGTGTTAAGTACTTTCAAATGACAGCATTTTTCAAGTCCACAATAGTGTATGCTGGTCCTTGTGTCAAGTGCTCGGGCTATCAGGAGACAGACAGGGTCCCTTGTGGAGGCAGGTGGCAGTTCCAGAGGGAGCCACCGTAAGGAGGGCCTGCCCTAGCCCCAGAGGCTTCACTGTGAACTCAGACATGTCCATCCGGTACTTTTAAGGGAGAGGTCTGACGGGGAAGGGAGATGGGAGGCGCTGACGAGTCCTGGTGTGTGCTGAACTACACATGGCATTTGCTGCATTCTATCTGCAGCCTGGTGTGAGGCCGGGGGCCCACAATTTTCTCATGGAGGCTGGGTACTTCCAAGGTCTAAAGTGTGCCATCTGTGTGAGGAGAGGACCAACTCCAGGACGGACCTGGAATGAGGTGTTTCACAGGAGAAAGGCCATCTTCTTTAGGTATCTTGTTATCCACCGCGTTCCCCAGCCATGTACCTGCCCATTAATCACAAGCTGCCTGGTGACATTCTCTTCTCCGCTGTCACTCTCCTGAACGCCTCCTATATCATCTCCTAACATCTTTTGATGGTTCCCATGGTGACCCGCACAAGGTCTTATCCTCAGAGAAGTTCAAACACTTCCAGAAACCTCAGGAGGTGCTTTTACCACGGTGTATCCAATGAGCGATCCATCATCTAATTGCTAAGCCCTCAAGTTCAGGCGTAGACCACAGGTAGGTTTGGGTTATCTGATGGGGGCTCAGGACTGGAGAGTCGCTGAAGGTTTGGAGAGAGCACTGTAAGGATCCTGCCCTCACTCCCACTCATGCGCAGCTGGGGGTCTTGTGTCCTACGTCATCAGTGGGTGCTGGTGACTACGTACCCGCTGCATGGTCACGCAATCTGCACCTTCAAAAGCCGGATTCGGACCCCCACCCTCTCTTTCTGCTCCCCACTCTCTGCTCTGCTCCCGCCATCTTCCTTCCTGTCCAGGCCTGGCTCTCCTCCCTCCTCTCCCCTCCTTCCTTCTAAGAAAGCTCTTTGTAACTCTGGTAGTCGTGGCCGTGGCCTGTGACTTTTTCGCCGGTAACCAGCACCGCCACCAGCGCCGCCACCAGCACCGTCTATCATAACCCATCAAACACAGCGTGAACAAAGAAGATTTAAAACACACGAGCCTGCCAGCAGTGGGGGTGGTTACGGACACCATCTACGCAATATTGGGAGGCTTGTGAGTACTGCTCATCAGGCGGCCTCAGCAACCCCCACTCTGCTCCCAGCCAGTCCTCTCAGCCCCACGAACACCCCCTCAAGTTTTTTTTTCTGAGCCCCAGTGCTTCAAAGACGACCTCTGCCTGCTTTGATTCTCTTCCCTTTATCCTCCTCAGAGCCAGTGAGCAGTGGTCAGATGCCAGGCGCGATCCTATTACATAGAGACCCAAAGACAAAAGACGGTCTCTACTTTCAAGTAGCTTGTGGAAGAAAAACATCTGATTATAACACAGTTGTTAAATCCTCTCAGATTTCCTCCCTCCCTCCCTCTTCTCCTTCCAGCCATTCGGCTTTCCGTTTCTTTCTTTTTCTTCCAAAAAAGGAGTTGAGGCACGCCGAGGGAAGTGAGCCAGGCGCGGTGAGAGGGAAGCCGATATGGGGGTGGGTACCCGAGGTGACTGTCAGATCCGTGGTCATCAGCCAGGTAAGTTGGAGGGGAAACACTGTGGGGCAGAGGGGCTGGCAGAGCTCCTGAGAGCTGGGCTGGAGCCTGGAACCCGAGAGAACTCGTTTGCCTTTCGGACAGACTGGCTTGGAGCAGAGTAGAGGGCCCTGTGGAAAGCGAGTCTGCAGCCGAAGAAACCAAAACGCAGACTATACGGACGCCAAGGCAGAAGCGCTAACTCCTTAAGCTGTGCAGTGTTGGGGGTCACTGTTAAAAGGTCCTTCCTGGAGCAGGAAGCAGGCCACACACTGCTCGGTCTCGGCCACAAGGTGGCAGCCTCACACAGGCACTGCCGTGGAAAATGAGAGCCCTCTAACCGGGAGGCATCGGGGCTCCCACCCACCGCAGAGCAGAACCACATCAATTTCACAGGAATATCAAAGAGGGTATGAGCGCAGAGTTCACCCCACGAACGCCTCTCTCCCACTGGAAACGCTGCAGAAGTACTGGGAAGTCGGCGGGTCAAGGGGAGGAGAGCAGAGGGCTGGGCCTGTCAGAAACACTCCGGAAGTGGGAAAGGCAAGCATCTGGTCTGACTCCACCCCTCCTGGCTTGTGGCACAGAATCCAGGTGGGTGAGGCCGACTCCACAAGCCCCTTGTCATCCCAGGGAGAGGATGCCTCGGGTACTAACTATGGGACTCAGGGTGACGGCTTTTCCTGCTGTGACACAGGCTGCCTTCTTCATGGAGAAAAAGAAAAATGAAGGAGCCGGTAACCTAACTCAGGTGCCCCGTGTCCCAGTCTTCTGGCTTTCCCAGCTTTTCCTCTCTTGGCCTGGATCTCTAAAAGAACATTCTAGGGCTGGAGAGATGGTTCAGAGGTGAAGAGCACTGGCTGCTCTTCAGGAGGTCCTCAGTTCAATTCCCAGCAACCACATGGTGGCTCACAACCATCTATAATGAGATCTGGTGCCCTCTTCTGGTGGGCACACATGCAGCAGAACACTGCATACATAATCAGT